ATATTACAAGTAGGGGCTTAATCCCACTGATCTACAGAACAAGTATCCACAGTCATTAAGCAACATGAACAATAAAAGAAAAGTAAATTCTGCACTTACCCTCTAAAATGTAGACCTTAAAGCCACTGCTCATCCGGGTGATGTAGTGGAAATTAGCCACGGCCATGATTCCTGGTCTTTGTCTTGAGTCTTGGGACACACACATACACACCTTAGCTGCTGCTGGGACACAATGCACCTCAGTAATGGATTGTATTGGAAAGATAATGAGAGGCTGGCTCTGAGCTCCGCCAGGTAAAGTCTCAGGTGAGTGCAGATTGGTGCAGTGGTTTCCCTGTGACCACTTCCCTGCACTCAGATTGGCTTCCATGGGAGCCAATCAAAACTCCCAGAATTCCCCCGTGTTGTTGTTGTCCTGCAAACTGGAATGTGCTCAGGTACAGGTAGGCCTGTGTGTGTGTGTCAAATGGAAAGTGGGGTCAGAGAATTCACAGTGTGGTTGTGGAAGCTTTTGCTTTCATCAATATATTATTCTGTAGTAGATATGATTTTAAAAAACACACAGGTGTAATTTAAAGTGAATTTTTATTTTTTTGGAGTGTTTTAAAGTGTTCCTTTTGTTTCCCTCCATGCTCCCAGCACCTATCCCCCTCCCCTCCCCTCCTCTTCCTCCTGATCATGCAATCTCACCAAACTGCATTTTTTCGAGCTGCTTAGCCCACCGGAGCTCCAGTCATTCCTCTGACCTGCCCGTACACGCACGCAGCTGCACTGTGCAGACTGCCTTGCCAGTAATCCAAGGGCTTTTGTTGATGGCCAGACAAAGACTCCTAAGTCCTGAAAAACGCTGCTGCCATGAGAACAATCTCTCCTGAGCATACCGAGGAGTCTGTCCTCAGAGGCCGCAGATTCAGGTCCTCTGTGACACTGGCACTGCTGAACATGTCATGGAGAGTTTTCAGATACATTGGTACAGTGGAAATCAAGAGAAATGATCCCCTGTGCTGCTCTAATGTCATCAAACATTAAAACCCCGTCTTAAAACTTTACTTTTTATGAAAGCTTTCAGTAATTATTGGCATAGG